GAACCTAAATCAAAACATTGTAAAATTGCACACTAATTTGCCGATTAAGAATTCGATTCACACTTTTCTGTATTATTGTTATTCTATCCTGTTTATCTCATTCACTTCTTTCGTTTGCTACTTTTAATAACAATGACTGTTTTTTTTCATGTTCTAAAACTGTCTAGCTAACTGAAAAAACTCAATAAGTACACACTAATCCATATAAACTGTTGTGATCAAGATTTGACTGAATAGATCCTAAATAATTGGGCACCGAGTGAAAAATAGACATTTGTAAAATCTCAGCGAAATTGAAACGCATAGTTCCAACATTTCGTTCGGCAAACTGGTCCGAACATCTTCAGGGAAATTAATCAAAATTAACATAACAGAGGTTTATATATTTTAACAGGTCATCTCTTGTTCTTAAAAACTTTGTTCAATCATATGAGTCATGAAACAGGCATCAAAATTTAATAAACATAATTGTATGAACTGTGATCAAAATTTGACCTCACACTTACTAATATTAGCCTACTTTTGTTAAACACTGTGTAAACAGTGTGTACTTTTCATCAGAACTTTACGTCGACGAAAAGTTCATGGACGTAGGTAACTAAATATGAAGAAATATTTATGCATATGCTGTATACAATGGTGTGTGTGTGTGTATATGGGAAAACAGTTGTAAAACATTTGTTAGCCTTTCGATAAGAAGATACAGACAATCGGGAATTTAGATCAAGTATGATTAATTAGTAATGTCTTCGCTCAGTACTCAAGATCAGATAGCCAGAAAAGATCACCAACAGGGATCTCTGGGAGCGAACCAACCAGGAACCGATTGTGAAACAAATAAGCAGGAAGAAATGGAGATGGATTGGCCATACTCTGAGAAAACAAACCATCAAGTGACATCACTAGACAAGCCCTCGAGTGGAACCCGAAAGACAAGCGGCGAGTTGGTCGTCAGTGCGAGGGTGGGGTGACTTGGAGAAGGTTATGTGAAGGGGAGATGAAAGCGTGTGGGCAGACTTGGAGCCATGTGAAAACTCTAGCAGAGAACGGAAAGCAATAGAGACACGCGGCTGAAGCCCTATGTTCCTCTAGGAATTAAAGGAAATAATAATATTATAATAATGATTAATTAGTGATATACATCCATTTTTTATTTATTAATCAGGATTTACCATGCATCAGCTAACATCACACCTCATCTGTTCAAACTGTTGGGATTCACTCATATATGCAAAGCTTCCGCAGTCAGTCTTTCTTTACACTAACTAAGACCTTTCTGTAGAACCTTACTCCTATCAAAGTCGATTTTGTGTCCCGTTTCTATCGAATGCAGTGTAATCACTGATTTGTTTTCTAGCTTCTTTACGTCTACAGAGGTCTTTGGAACCACCTTTAGACATTGTTTATGCTCTTCCACTCTTATATTTACCTGTCTGGAAGTTTCTCCCACATATACGGAACCACGGTCCTTGCAATTGGTCTGATACACACAATTCTGTTGGTTGTCTTCCCTGAAGAAGTTTGGACCAGTCTGCCGGACGAAACGTTGGAATTAGTAATTGCAATTTCGTTGAGATTTTACAAATATAATTTTTTACAAAAGTACATTAATCTCTCAAATACTACAAAGTTTTAGGCTATCTGAAGAACTTTAAGCCTCCCCTGATAAGCAACATGAATGCACAGTGGACAAGATTATCCGGCACTATTGTATGAAGAGGAATTAACAACACAATGAATGTAGCATAATCTCCAACATTATGTGAGGAAATCTACCGACACTTCAAAATTGATGAAGACTCTTTCCATTAGAATTTAGAGCAACCATTCAGAAACAGATTGTTGTTGAGACGCTAGTGATTATGTGAGTGGGTTTCAGACGTATCTATAACACGGCAAGCTACACTGACCAGTCACATAGTAGAGACATAATGTATTCATGTCCTTAATAGGATAATAAACCAAAACAGTCTTACCGTTACGAAAACCTTTGAAACCCTATCTCTAACACTTGTCAGAAGAACATATACGTTATGCGCTTATTTTACATTCCTAAGTGTGGCGCATTTAACAACTGATGCAAAACGGCATTTTCATGCACTATAGACAACACAGTAACAAAAGCAAAAAATAACAGAACACAAAATTCTCAATAACCTAATTTGGTAAATGACGTGTGCCTTCCTTTTTTTTTCTTTTCTTCTTTACATTGCTCTTTCACCCTCATCTTATCATCCATCCTCATTGAAGTACTTTTTCAAGGTCATCTGTGCGACATAACCTGTCTGAGATAAACAAAGCTTTGAATTGCTTTATTATTGTATTAATAATGTCTGTGTATGAGTCACGTTTGATAAATAGGTTTGATGACAAGAGGGCTGTAAAAACACAATTGTAATTATTCACAATACCAGTGTATATAGCATAGAAAACCAGCCAGCATTGTATATAACGAAACCTTTTTTAAAGTGACGATTTCTCAACTTTCAGTAGGGCTGTTTACCCTCTAACTATGAAAGTTGAATATTCATGTTCCTTTGAGAGAAACAGCATTATATATGTCAGTATACCAATTTCAGTCATGCTGTTTTTATTGATGACCTTTTGTTTTAGTTTAGCTTATCTCTCCAACTTATTATTCATTCTTTGCGTTACGCATGGAATGTAGGGCTACAAGCTTTGAAGTTTTAGCAGCAGTGGCGTCTTTACGGAGCCGCATTGCTGGCGTGACTCCCAACCTCTGTTCTTTCCCATTCTTAGTACCGGTTAGGCGAGGTTTGGTAGTGTGTCAGCCAGAATTCACGCCTAGAATTTCTGTGTGGCTGGCGAGCATTGTACCATTGAACCAATGCTGCACATTCTTCAGTAATTTTAGCAGGGATTAGGTTGAAATCACAGTTGAAGAAATATAAATGAAGAACTTTCGGTTTTTATGAACTAAACAGCCCAATGATAAAATATTGAACTTTCGTATTGAGTAGTAAAGATTCAAATCATTCGAAGAACTTTTATATTATCATATTTACAGATGTTAGGCGCATCCGGCGCTAACCCACCTGAATGATGAATACATAAATTCGGACTATTTGGAACACTTCATTACTGATTTACCAGAAAAGGTCTATGGACGAGGAACTTTTATCTCAATAGTCACTGTAGCTATTTATGCTTGAGAGTCAAAAATGACAAGGTCTTTATCAGCATTCTATCCCCAGACAATAATTAACAAAGAAGATATTGATCCTCTACCCATAGTTAGATGATTTTCTTAAGACAAACGTTACAAAGAAAGTATACTTAGAGTTCTGCACAAGTTCATTTCTTTTAAATTTTATGAATTCACACCTAATAAGTCACTTTGAAAATGTCTTTAACTGTCTTCAGTATAATCACTTGTAAGTTTGTAAGAAGTTTAGGAAAACTATAAGTCAGTTAAATGCATTATTTAAACGTTGAACATACTTCAGATGTATATAAAAGCCCAACGTGAATAGCAATTACTAAACTACTTTAATTGTGTAGACAGTAAAGTGCATTTGATCACGAACCGATCACCAACACTGAAAACTAGAGAGTACTGGATGGTTGTGTTTGTCCTGGTTAGGGAGTCTTCATCAGTACACACCCATGAACCCACCAGCAATCGAACCGACAGCTTTCAGGTTACAGTTCCAGCTCGTAAACCACCATTTAGACACTGAGTTAAGATCCAGTAATCAACTGCTTCTAACTCTTCTCAATTCGTGGTATTGCACTACCGCCAACCATTGTTATCGATCAGCGTCCACGTTGTTATGAGGCGGCTGTCCCCACTGGCTACTATTTTTCCTTAGGACTCCAGGATATCCCAACAAACCATTTTATATACGTACATATACACCTATATTACTTATTTTTAGAGGCTTCAAGGAGAATATTTAACTTTTTGGTAGAGGCGTGAAGCGAATGAAACTTTACTTCCATAATTCATCGTACCTCAGAGTGTGTTAAGTCTACGCTGTTCATTAATCAGTCATACTGACAGATGCTGTAGGATGTGACAAAAAGCAAGTTTCAATAATTGATATTTACACTTTGTTCCAGATGTATGAAGACAGATAATTGTACATGGAGTCGTTCAGGCGTTACTGTGTATTGACACTGTTTCAAAGCCGACTTATCCAGAATATTCATGAAATTGCCACTGTCTATATGCAATTTGGGTTATAAAAATTCAAAAGTAGCTTCCTCTGTAAAGTTTATCAATATTCTTTTATTCAAGTGTTGGTTTGTAGGGATTTGATTGGTTACAGGATTTCATCATGAGCCGATATTGGTTAGAGAACCATTGAAAGTGACCAGTAGGTTGCAGCAGGTCGGGTGTGAGGACAAATACTTGCCAAAGACATTGGCTAGGAGTTGCGCTATGTCGTGAATTGGCAGAAGTTAGAATTCAAGAATCATTGGATCGGGTCCCAGTGGCTTGATGGTATACGAGCTCGCCTTGTAACCGGAGGGTCCTGGGTTCGAATCCCGGTGGGTGCGTACTGATGAGGAGTCCCAAACTAGGATGAAATAACCTTTTAATTAGATTCCATAGCAATGGCTAAATGGTAAACTTACTGACTTTATAATCTGGTCGCTCTGAGTTAGATCTCCGTCGAAGATATGGGTTTGTACTGATGAAGAGTCTCAAACTAGGGCGAAATGGCTCTCCAATACTCCCTGGTTTACCAACAGTTCTCTAAGTGATTTCAGTTTGTGTTCTAACTTGTATGCAGCCAAATCTCTGCAAACTAACACTTTGAAATCTCTTAATGATCTTAACTCTGTATATTCCCTTCACTTAAGAGATTTTGGCATTCTTTAAAAGCATCATACTTTTCCACCAGCAGTTCACGTGAAAGCAAACAAAAGTTCATCTGATCACTAACATAAAACCTTTTTGTAGAAATCCCTAACCTTCTTATATTTCTTTTAACTATTACTGTTTACTTCTTCTTGTCTTATTTTTTTTGTAGTTATCGCTGCGAACAATTTGAAATGGACAACAACAGGAACATTTAAGCCTTTCATTGAAGTGGTTTTATTTGGTCCATTGTTAAGTGAAAAGAAGCACAAATTTGCAACTAAATCAAAGAACAATGTCTGGTCACCTGTGTTCAACGAAACATTTACATTGTATGTTTATTTGTGATCATTATTATTATTATTGTTATTATTATTATTATTACTAGGACTAATTGCTCACTTCGCAAATGGAGAATAGGACTTCAGCAGCACATATCCATTGGATTAAATTTCCCGCCATCATTTTCAGTTGGCTTGGCAACCACCCTTAAGATTTTATTTACTTTTCGCATGGTCTCCTGCATGTCACTTCCGTATACTCACCTTGCCAATTCACATTCGAATTCCTCTCTACGGCCTGTAGCATGATATCACTTGGATATATCCTTAGCGTATGCCCAATCCATCTCCATTTCCTCCTGTGTATTTGTCTAGTAATGGGCTGTAGTCTGATCAGCTGCCAGAGTTGTTTTTTGCTTATCCTTTCTGGTAGGACTTTTGATCATCAGTATCGCAAAAAAAAGGCAGTTGTTAGTGAAGGTGTAGAGTCATTTGGAGATGCTTATGGCAACACGCACGCGCGCGCGCGCGCCAAATTGCAAATTAAGTTTGGAGTCTCCTATCAACTGACACAATATAACACTCTCAAGCTGTATGCATATGATGAAAAGCCAACGAAATAAATGATGGTGCCATTGTATTCTGCACAAACTGTTGTTCTTGCCTTATTCTTATACCGTCAGTGAAAAATATGCAAAAATGAGGAGGACATTGAATCCTAGAAATAAACTAAACTGTTAATTAGAACAAGACATATAAGCGAACAATATTGTTGTTTTCAATTAGATCATCTTCAGGCTTTACTCTAATTTACATAGATTTATATATTAAACATTTTAACCAATGACGGTGATTTTGTGCATCAAATAATAATAATAATGTGGTAAATGTTTTGAACGTAGTTAATAACGGTGATTATAATGACAAAGCCTCAGGATGGTCGGGGTGGGTGTCTTGCGCTGTGGGTTGGCCACCCCTCCGTACACCTCTTGAAATGCTCCCATATGACCGGGCGTCTTACATAGCCTCTCCTGAGGAAGTCCTACTCACTGCCTTCACTTGGCGGAGGTGTTTTTCACCAAAGTGAGAGGGTAAAAGCGGATGCCCGGCGCTCTTCACCGGGTTGACTGTCCATTGGATGACAGTCTAGGGGAGATGACTAAACCCTGATTCCAAACCTCCAACGACTGGCGTATGAAGCTCACCGGAGCTCACAGGCAGACGTATGGACAAAGGGCTTACTGGATGCCCTGGACGACTGGCCCCATTCAAAAAGGCGAATGAACCGGACTCCAGTCACCGGCTGACAATGGATAGTGGACTCCCTACTCCACTCCTACTGCCTTGTAGGTCACACTTGGTTGTGTAAAGGCTACAGCTGCACTCTCAAACAAAGGCTGAGCGATGCTGGGGACATCACTCGTACCCAATTCCCATGAAACTTCATGGTTCATGAAGCCGGCTCATCCTCCCGTAGGAGATAGCCGAAGTAAAGTAAAAGTAAGTAAGTATTATAATGACAACAGGTGGAGATAAGAATAACAAAGGTAGTAATATGTGTATAAATAAATAAATAAATTAGGTCAAATCTTAAAAGTTACGTAATACTAAAGGTGAAAAAGAACATGGTGGTAGACTACATTTCCTTGACGTCTAATTGAGCAGAAGAGGGGATGCTTCATTCAAGAGAGATGTCTATAGAAAACGTACATCTGTAGGACAATATATATATATATATATATATATATATATATATATATATACATTTCCTCAGTTTTGTACCGATCCGATACAAAGTCAATTTGGCCAGATGCATCACGAATAGAGCAAGACGTATCTGTACAGATGACTCCCTGCAAAATGAGTTAGGGTACATCCAAAATACACTAGTCCAAATGGGTTATCCTTGTAGATTTGTAAGGAGACACATGAACACCAGATACAATAAAAAGAAACTGACAACAGTTGAAAAGAAACAACTGTTCCTGAAATTGCAATTTAATGGGGACGTGGCTAGTGAAGTCTTACATCTAAGATTATCGAGAGTAATAGAACGGTCTAATACTGCCTCTACCCTTTGTTTGTCATTTTCCAGCCGACCAATTATGACCGCTCAAGTGAAAGACAAGCTACCTAGCTGTGCCACTTCTATGTGTATCTATAAATTTAGTTGCTCCTATGGAGAGAGCTATATAGGGTGAACAGCTAAACAGCTTAACGAACGCATTAATGAGCATCCTCCTTTATGGTTCGTAAAAGGTCAAATAAAATCTATAAGAAGTTCTATTTTGGCTCATTTGATTGATAGCGGTCGCCAAGTGGGTAATAAATATTGCCTTCAAAGTTATCTATCACATTCCATCGATCCTTTCGAACGGAATTCGAACCCGTCTTCTACACATAGCCGAAGCTATGGGAATTCGAGAGAACAATCCTAGTCTTTGCATACAAAAGAAGTTTGTTCTAACTTTGTCTCTCCCTCGACCTAGGTGAATTCTATTCAAAACCCTCCCACCCTTTCTTATTTTCCATCTCCTTCGTACTTTTATGATATTTACTTAAATTCTGATTATCTGTCCACTTCACCTTTAGCATTACGTAACTTTTAAGATTTGACCTACGTTCAAAACATTCACCACTTTATTATTATTATTATTATTTGATGCACAAAATCACCGTCATTGGTTAAAATGTTTAATATATAAATCTATGTAAATTAGAGTAAAGCCTGAAGATGATCTAATTGAAAACAACAATATTGTTCGCTTATATGTCCTGTTCTAATATTAAAAATGGGAATATTTAAAGATTTAAACTGTTAATGACAATATTAATGGTGAAAGATTGAGAAAAGCGTATTATCTAGCGATTGGGGGTCAACGAGACACACGCTTGCTTCAAATGTGATGCAACTGTGCAATAAATTTCCCACATTCTAACCACACATTTACTTGCCAAATCAATTTATATGAAAAATAAAAAGTCAGTTAAAATAAACAAAGTGATTAGGGATTTAAGAGTAAGTAGGCTAATAATTGATACTAATCTTGGTAATATAAACAGATAAAGATTACCCAGACAGGTTAAGGGTAACAATGAATTGTTTTTGTACACACGATAAGGAGTTGGGCTTAGTTTTACAGATAACTATCGCCTTTGTGGGTTTCCTTATGCGCTCCTGATGGTTTTACATTCAGCCTCGAAAGCTGGCTTTAGATCACTTTTAAAGTTTCTTTCAGTAATGTGTTTTCTCATTGATGTGGCTAGTAGTCTGGAAACATGAGTTTATCACAATTCCAGAACTTTTCAGCCATTTAGGTATATGTCCTCCCACTCTCATGAGCAAATCACGATTACTCCCTATGTGTGTATACTCCACACAAACACACGTGTATAAGTTGGTGTAAAATATGGAATGTGACGTAATCACTCATCCAATGTTAAGCCTTGTATGAAACATTCAAAACAGGCATGGCAAGATGAGCACTCCCACATGAGAGAAAATTAAACGTTCGTAGACAGTTACCCGGGAAAACGTTTCAGAAGAATGAATTGTTATTTTGGCTTTTAGCGACTAGCAGTGGAATCCTGGATGCTTATTTCATCCTACTTTCAGGACTTGTCAGCTGATGTACCTATATTCTCATTGACTGGTGGTCTTCTCATTGGGACTCGAACCCTAAATCCACCATTTCAAACTTCAAAGCATTATCCACGATAGCTACAAGAGTCATTCCTTGTTCAGTGGGTACCAGTTACTATACCTTTTAGTTTCATTTTCATTTCTAGTTGATTTATTATGTTGGATAAAAATTTTCAGTCTGTGGTAACATGTCAGTTCCTAGTATGGACGCTTTGACGATATCTACTGCTAATCGCCATCAGGCAGAATGGCATCACATCAATCCTCAAACATCTTCGAAATACTCATACCAGGCACTAACATGTCAAGAGTAAACGAGCAATTTGTTTGGCATAATCAATCAAGGGGAAATGAAAATGAACCTCAAAATGAATGGCATACACTGTCATTCATATATTTTCGGGGTCAACCATTCTTCCCCTAGCTAAATTCTTATGTTCTGACAATCTTACTACCCCCGACCTATTAGTTTGACCTATGTAGTTGACCTTACCTCAGTCATTGTAAGGTATTTTGTAAATTATATTATTTTGTCTAATTAAGTCCACCGACAGGGTCGTTTAACCTACAGAGCTTGTCTCTGAGTGAGTTTGTAGGTTTACATGCCACTCTAATTCCTGCTTTATTAAGAATTCTACGTAGGGTCTCAGATGTCCCCTCCTTATATGGTATAACAGTGGATGACTTATGTTCTTTCTTATTTATGTTATCATTACTAGTTTCACAATTATTTTTATTTTGCTTTTGACCTTTTCTGATCTTCCTAATGAATTTCAAAGGATAGTTATTCAACGCCAACGCTTCTTCTATCTATTTTATTTCGTCAATTAGGTCTTTTCTTGTGCTACTTAGTGCTATGGCTCGGTTTATTAGAAACTTAACTAAGCCTGCCTTAACAGTTAATGGATGAGATGAATTAAAGTCTAAGTATCTACTAGAACGCGTTGGTGTTTATAAACACTAGTCTGTAGTTTACCTTCTTCTATTCGTTTTATTTTACAATCTAACATAGCTAATTCTCCTTGCTGATTTCCCGATTCAAATGTGAATTTTATTCCCTCTATTAATGAGTGTATTTTTGTCAAGAAACTAGAGATATGTTCTGTTTTTAACACTGTGAAAGTGTCATCCACATATCCCCACCATATTTTTGGAGTAGGATTAAATGTATTAAGAGAAATATTTTCCCAGCTGTCCATAAATGTCTGTTACGATAAGGATATATTGCTGATCCCATTGCTACACCTTCTGTTTGTCTGTATATTTTGCCTTGGGATTTAAAGATAGTAGTTGTGAGGCATAACTGAATCGCTAAAATAATTTCTTCAGTGGGAAGCTTTGTCCTATGATTGAGTTCAGGATCCGCAGTAGTTATTTTTTAACTGATTTTAAGGCCATATTGACTGGTATATTAGCTCAACACTGTCATTCAAATGCCTAGTTTGGTGCTGAACTAATATGTTATTCATTTTATGAACGTAATCAAGTTATTGCTGTCACAATGTGAGTACAAATTAGCTTTTTTCCTATGACTTATGTTTACGAAGTCATGTATTATTCGTGATGCCATTATATATTACTGTTTTCTCTAAGAATTTACTAATAATACTTATTGATTATTTTCCATTTCAGTTTTCTCAGTGCTGGTTCAGATCCTGAATCGTATGAGCTACATATGTGTGCTAAAGATTATTGTTTTGGTCGAGCAGACCGATTGATTGGATTAACTGTTCTACAACTTCGCGACTTATCAACATCAACCGATTTAAATGCTTCGCCTACAATACATGTAAAAGGTGGTGCTGGTCGAAGCACTGGAGGTGGTCAAAGTGGTGCATGTGCATGTATTTGTAGTCTGGGCAAACGACTACATCTTGATGATACTGGATGGACTATACTGCGTATCCTATCACAAAGGCCACAAGATGAAATAGCTCGTGAATTTGTACGCTTAAAATCAGAAGTTCGTAGTCCTTGTGATACAATCGGTAGTACTACTGGTTCTGTTATGAGTAATCCAGCGTCAAATGGATCTATCCCACGAAGTCGATAAACACATATATTGCATCAAAGAAATATAGTATTGATTGCCTTGTAACACAGACACACACGTCTTTTATGCGGGATACAAGTAACAGGGACCATAAAAGGTGTCAGTTATCTAATATATATATATATATATATATTTCTGCTGTCTTCCTTTCATTTTTTTGACAATTTCACGTGCATCATTCTTATTTTGACTAATTGAAATGTTTCTGTGTGTGTAGTCACCAGTATCAGCCTTATTCAAACCAATACTTATAACTACTACTAATATAATCATGGAAATATTATTAGATTACCGCTGTATCAAACTCCTCATCCACCTTTAGTCTTCTGACAGACAACAGCAGTTATTGGATTTCCAAGTTTATTGAATACATATAACTGAACAAATTAACACATTTTAGGCATTTTAAAACAACTCATTATTGTGAATGTATTTCGTGTACACATTGAATATGTAATAACATTATGTATGTATGTATGTATGTATGCTTGTATGTATGTTTGTAAGAGAACAGCCCATAGGTGTGTTTCAATACATATTTATACATATGCATATGCATACACTTTCATTGTTCAAAATAATTTTGATTTTCAACTCTTGATATTTTGTTTTGTTTTTCTATCCTTTAAATAATGACAACTTCTAGGAATTTGAATTACTATAACGCCTAACCATTATTATACTAATATGTTTGTTAATTGTATCACCAGTATTTGTCTTACGCAATATGATTGATTACCCAATGTTATTATTTCTATTCTTCTAGCTGACTATTTACCTACACATTACATAATTTCTGTTCTCTTGCTTTTCCTTCCACTCCTCATCGTTTGTTGCTGCCCCCCCCCGGGGGTTAGAACAGACGGTGAAAATATCCTTAAAGCCAGAGTGTTTTCGACTAGAAATACGCATCACATCCATCCTGTACACACAATCTCACACACACACACACACAGGCCTACTTCTCACTTCTCATCCCTTCCCATTACTTCTAAATTACTTATTGAACTCTTCGTTTTTATTATTTTTTTTTGAAAAATCTAATGGAATTGTAAGTATGTTTGTATGTATGTATCTTACTATTTATAATCCCGCCTCCTTTTGTATACGCGCAACAGAAAATGACATTAACTAATATAAACAAAAATTTAAATTGACCGATTGATATTTATGAATGTAAGACATTGTTGTCGACATTATCTGCTATAGTGACTATTATTATTATTATTATTACTGTTATTTACTACTATATTTCTTTTCTGAAGCTCTTAATCTACTTATGATTGTGATAATTTATTTATACAAGACTAAAGAGACGATAGTCTTATGTGATAAAAACAAATTCAGTATATATGTATTCACAAAACTAGCTAACTATTTATCTTCTTTCCCTTAGTCTCTACCTACCTATTACATATATATATATATATATATATATATATATATATATATATATATATATATATATATTATATCTTTGTATTTATAAAATATTAAATCATTCAATAATTTATGCATCTTAATAATATTGATTGTTTGTACAAGAAATATGAATATACATATATCTTCTTTCTAAAATGATTATCATTTGAAAAGATTAACTGGATTCCATCGAATGAGTACAAGCAATGGGTGATGAGGTGTACTTACTTACTATCGTTTAAAAGTGATGTGAAATTGATTTATTGCATAAGCTAAGATACGATAACTAGGCTATCTAATTCCTATGTAATGAAACAGAAACTAGGGTGAAATTCAATTAGAAAAAGATGGAAAAATGATTAGTTTTCAAATAACCAGTTTATATACTAACATTCCCATTAATACAGCTCTGGAGGCTGTTAAGAATGAAGTGAACATTGATCCTGAACTCAAAAGTAGAACTAAGCTCTCTGGGAACGAAACAATATTAGGTGTTCAGTTTCTAAGTAAACTATGTACACAAACGAATAGGGTGGTGATGGGATCACCAATACACCCAATAGTGGCAGACATATTTATGGATAATTGGGAACATAAGGCTCTTAGAACGTTATAGTGGAGATATGTGGATGACACAGTCACCGTGTTGAAATCTGAACATATCCCTCATTAATTTCTCACACATAAACTCTATATTAGACGAAATCCAATTCACTTAAGAGTTTGGAAATGAATAGGGTGAGTTGGCCATGCCAGACTGTAGAATAAAACGAAAACAGGATGCTGGGTTTAGTGTAACAATAGAAGACAAGGGCCAGAGACAGATCATTTTATTATAGCTTATTCAAGTAGACAAACTCAGTCTTCTGATTGGTTGTTTCGAGTAACCTCGGAAAGTGGAGCCGTCTATCTGCGAATCATATTTGTCCACGTTAAGTCTGCTGTGACTGGTTGTTGAATCAGCCTTGCTCATATTTTATCACGGCCAATATTAGTGACCTAGACATTGGCGTAGATTAATGTCTACCAGTTGGCTAGCAGCCTGCTATCACCACACTCGCCCCCCCGTCAAATAGTTTGGACCGAAGTCGGCTTGATCTTCTTGGTGCGGGCGTCATCGTTGGCTTGTCTCGCTGTATCCATTTCTGGAGCTCGCTGACGTTCACGCACCTCTCATTGTTCGCCATTGCGATTGTGTCTGCCTAACCCCATCTCCAAGTGATCATATGTGGTCCTTCCCACTTTGGAAACTGTTTGCCTGACCCTGTCGAACATTCGTCGGTATTTCGGCTCACACTTTCATATGCTGCTTTCGCCCGACCTCCCGGCAGCGTCCCAAGTAGCAGCTCCATCGCTGACAGATCTTGAACGCCACTCAACTGCGCAGAAGCCTTGAAGTCCTGCCCGAAGATCCATATGTCTCCATCAAAAACTGCAGGGCATAGGCTTTCCATTTGTCGGTAGGCAGCGACACTGACGATCTGTTGCCGAAAAAAAGAGTGTGGTGAGAGCAGGCTGCTAGCCAACTGGTAGACATTAATCTACGCCAATGTCTAGGTCACTAATATTGGCCGTGAGAAAATATGAGCAAGGCTGATTCAACAACCAATCACAGCAAACTTAAACGTGGGCAAATATGATTCGCAGATAGACGGCTCCACTTTCCGAGGTTACTCGAAACAACCAATCAGAAGACTGAGTTTGTCTACTTGAATAAGCTATAATAATGTACAGGAAATATATATAAATACGTGTTGATTTCCGTAATAAAATGATCTGTCGCTGGCCCTTGTCTTCTGTTGTTACATAAGTACTGGTATTTATGGGAAACTGACACACACTAATAAATATCTACACTTTAATTTATTCTATCCAGAATAGGTAAAGATAGGTTGAGTTAAATGTCTACATAATCGGGCCAGAAGCTTAAGTAGTAAGCCAGAGGATTTCAATAATGAAATCAAACAAATAAAGGAAATATTACTAGTGAATAGCTACTACCCACCAGAATTTATTCAGACATAAATGAAGAACCATAGAAAAACGGAGACTAGCAATAAAAGTGACGAGAACAATATAGAATTCAAAGTCTTTGTAAAACTGCTGTATTAAGGAAGGAAGGTTGGAGGCCTTACGTAGAATTCTCAATGACGCTGGAATTAGGGTGGTATTTAAACAAAACAACTCTCTCAGGATCCAATAGATCCAAATAAGAAAAATAATGTAATTTACCAAATACCATGTAATGACTGTTAGTGAGGTCGATTACATTGGCCAGTCAAACTAGTAGATAGGGGTCACCTAGATTATTGGAACATACAAACTTAGCTAGACCTAGAATAATTGACCCTGATAAGTTAAATAACCTAGAAAGAAGCTCAGCCATTGCATTGCACTGTATTCACTTGTATGTATTGACACAATAGGTGGGATAGGACAGGGTGAGAGTATTAAAAATTAATATAGTACGGTGCATACATAGACAGGTTAATCATTGAATTTTTGTTTATCGATTCAACAGCACACACGTATGATCAGAATGACGCGACGCCTGTCACGGAGATATGGAAAGTGGCGACAAACAACGACGGGAAGAGGGACAGAGAGAGAAATATACGTAGGACAAATCATGAATTATGAGCAGTAACTTTTGTTCGAAACGTCATTCAGTTATTAATACTGCATCGCTATTTGATATTTGAAATAAACTCATCCAATATGGAATTACATTCTATCACAATGCCCAAGTTATACACTTACATTCATTATACGATAACTTATTCCATATATTATGCCACAAGTTAGAACAAAGGTTCTAACAATCAATTACTGAGCTTTACACATAAGGGTGGTAGACCGCTGATGAACCCGAGTCTAAGTGAAGGAAACAAGAGTCCGGTATTTAATTCACTCCGATAATCTGGCTAGAAAATACTACTGGTTGATGCAAGTGGTGTACAACTACTCATCCCAATCAATCAGTAGTATATAGTAGTTTTATGCATTTACTCTTGGTTTCTCAATTACCATTTATAGTATCAATTAGAACACATTTTGTGTGTGATCTGAATAATTTTGGTGGTGAAATATCGCCTCCTCCATAACGAAACATGATGTAAGTGGTGCCCCTTGTTTCTCACTACCTTTAACCAGCTTTGATTGCAGGAGTACTTTCAACGGTGTTTGTCGCTCGATCTGTAAACTACTTTTTGGTTTAACTCTAGTTTAGGTAGAACACGTACTGTGTGAGAGCTGATGATATCCTACCCAGTCTCAAAGACTGAAGTAGGGGGAAACAGGTTTCGAACCCTAGACTTACTGACTGAAAGTTAAATGCTACTACACTGAATGAACTACAACTTCATACTTCTTCAATCGTTATTTCTATAAGATACTAAGAAAATGACTGCTTGCTACATAATCCCTAACATCATATATTACAAGACTTACTGAGCATCTATTCATATCACCATCTAAATATTCAAACTATACTAAATAATACATAAATGTCTGTTTGTAGGCTCTAATAAAACACCTACTCAATCTACCTGTTCTTAACACTTATTTCCACTGGTTTCTTATTTTATACAAAACTTCTTAAACACTTAAGGTATAATATTTAAAGAACAATTAGTCTTATAAGTATCGCGACTACGTTCGAACATAAATAAAAATGTATATTAAGCAGATAATTCCAACTGTTATGAGATG